GATGGATGGATGGATGGATGGATGGGTGGATGGATGGATGGATGATGCATGGATGGATGGATGATGCATGGATGGATGGATAGATGGATGGAAGGATGGATGGATGGATGGATGGGTGGATGGATGGATGGATGGATGGATGATGCATGGATGGATGGTTGGATGGATGCATGGATAGATAGATGGATGGATGGATGGATGGATGGATGGATGGATGGATGGATGGATGCATGGATGGTTGGATGGATGGATGGATGGATGATGCATGGATGGATGATGCATGGATGGATAGATGGATGGATGCATGGATGGTTGGATGGATGGATGGATGGATGGATGCATGGATGGATGGATGGATGCATAGATGGACATTTGCTTCCAAGCAGTCAAACTCTCTTGTAATCTTGGTCATTGAGTCTTCAGGTTTTCTGAAGGTGTTTCAAAGTCTCTCTGGACTTTGGCAGGTTTTTTTTCCTATTCATTTCGATATAACTTGACTATTTTCACACATATTATGTGTTTAAGTCATTAAACTCTGATGAATGAATCATTCAGGCATGAAAGGCTCCTAAACTTGAGAGATGTGTTGACACACAGCCGGACTTAAACTGGACCTCCTGCCACTTTGTCACCAGCAGTCTGTCACAAAAGAACTATTTGTGCCCATTTTTTTAGCTGATACTGTGATCATACTGTTTAAAGCTTTGAACTCTACACTTTGCAAAGTAGAAAATATTCCCAGATGGAAGCAAAACCTCTTCAACCATAAAACAGAAGCGTGAGAATCTACACCAGCATGAGTATATCAACGATAACACAGTCTGAAACAGAAAATAAGTATTTTAACATCAACAGGATGATTCCCAAAACATCATACAGTTCAACTGAATCATAATGTTTCTCTCAGATCCTGTTTTTTGCTGGATTAAAAAAAAATGTACAGTACATGACAATCTCATCTGATCGTCATGGGGTTTCTTCTTTATCATTTCTTCCTGTTTATAAATACACAACGTGCTGCAGAGTCAGGTGCAAGGACTGCACAGAACAAAAAGTCATATTTCAAATAAAAACTTACCAACACCTTTAGCAAACCTAAAGAACTGCTGATGTTTTAAAAGATTACACGTTTTGGCTCAATGCGTGCACAGCATGAAGAACTCAGGAGAGGTTTGAAACAGCTCTTTTTCTTAAAGTTCACAGATTTGATTAAGTGCAGCAGAGATAACATCAGAAACGTTGCAGTTCCTCATTCAGATACAGAATGCCACAGCTATTGTCAGCTTTTGGAGGTTTCACTTCTCTGTAAAAGAATACAGGAAGTAAAAGCTGCAGCTGCAGAGACGCAGCGACGAGGCGAGTTCAACAAACACCTGAAGCTTCTTTTCAACTTGACACAATAACTCGTCATTACAGGTGAGCTGCTTAACGTCAAATAAAAAGGTTTGTGTTGTACTAAAAGTTGTCTGAAGTTCTTTGGGTTTTATCTGCATGATTGTATTAAATAATAAATGTCTGTCTGTCGTTTTTGACACAGGAAACTAAACAGCATGCGTCCATCTGTGATCGTAGTGTTCACTCTTCTGTCCTGCACCTGTGGAGAGAATCCTGGAGTGCAAGTCTTCCTGACAAACAAAGGCCTTCAGTACGGTAAGGGGAGGCGTGCTGGTGTGCACAGGTAGCTTTTTATGTATTTTTATTTGTATTTGAGAACCAGTTCTCATTTACCAACTTGACCTGGAAGCTAAATGAACTATTCCAGAGGGTTTAGTTGTTTTACAGCACAAGCTTCATTCAAACAGGGTTTTATAAAACTTCTGTTTGCTGCAGTGAAACATGTGGGTGCAGGATGGATTCAGGACAAGTTGGAGCACATCACTTTTCCTGACATCAGCGGTGAAGTTGACATCTTCATTGGAACTGTATATTACACACTAACAGGGTAGGGTTCTAGTTGATGTCATGGTTTTGTTTATTTTCTTTTTGGCGGGGGATATAAATTTATATCTAACCCTTTCTCCAACTGTTGTATTCCAGCACGACCACAACAAAATGTGACTTTCCAGAGCCTGTTGTTGAGTTTTCTCAGGAATACTCAGGGCTTAAGACGTCTATTGTTGGCCTCAGCGTTGCATTAGCTGGTAACTGGAGAACAAGCTTTGGCATAATGTGAGTTTTCTGTTATTTTTGTTACGGTTGATATTTATGAAGAGCTTCCAGCTCCTTTCTATCTTATCAAGATGCTCAAAGCACTTTACACCACAATCTGTGTCCGTTCATACATCACTCTACTAGATCTATATAACGAATAATCAGTGATTTATCACGTTCATGCACTGATGGGACACACATCAGAGGCAGTGAGGGGTTCAGTGTCTTGCCCAGGGACACTTCAGCATATGACTGCTGGTAGAATCGAACCCCCAACTCTTGCATTGGCGGATGACTGCTCTAACCACTCATCCATAGTCGCCCCCAATACACTATATCTTCAAAAACCTTTTAATTCTCTTTAAAAGGAAATAAGTTGTGATCAAAATGACTGAGTTGCAAACAAAAGACTTAATGGGAGATGAATAACAAATTGCATTATACCTGGAAAATCACATTATTTTCACATTTCAATGGTCTGAGACAGGTTTTTTGGCAGAAAGGCAAAGAAAAGGCATTTCCTTTCTTCAAGCACACGAGTAACGTCACCAAAAAACTGTTTTTTTTTTTACTCCTGCGAGAATTTCAGAGGTTTTATTTTTTTGCACAGACAAACTTGAAAATGAGGAAACCTGTGACTTTTGTTGCCCTGTTCTAGCACATTTTATTGTATTGTCACATTGCACATTTATAATTAAACCTGAAAGGGAAAGCTTTGGCACATCACAAGGTCTGCAATTGAAGGACAATAAACTGTTCATGTAAGTTTAACTGTCCATGAAACAAAATTATCTTTAGTTTTTCAAATATAAATAAACCTGCAAGGTTTACACATATTACTTGCAAACTATATATGTTACAACATAATAACAATAATTAGTTGTATCTAGTGTCAGCACATATATAAGGAGAGGGAAGTGCTTATTTACTACTGGTTTAAGTGGTTACCAGCATCACCAAGCTTTGTATTTTGTATTTCCAGACATGACAGTGGATGGTTTGATATGGCCATATTTACTGTTAGTTTGACCTCTGTGGTGCAGCTGGGCCGAGATCCTAACGGGCATCCGTCTGTCAGCAGCGTCAGCTGTGATGCTCAGATTGGAGACGTGGACATCCAGTTCCATGGAGGAGCAAGGTTTGACAAAAAAAAAAACTGAATGAAAGGTTTAATTTTTTACACATATCTCAGAATATAAGCCTTGTAGTTTTTGATTGTGAACAGTGTGATCTTCCAGCCATTTGTGAATCATTTCAAGGGGCGCATCATTGAAATAATGCAAAGTAAAGTAAGTGTTTCACTCTATAACAGTCACACACATTGATGCAAGCTTTAGTATTTACTTGTAAATATTCTCTGATTGTGCTAATCTGAAGCAGATTGTAGTTTTAGCAGTGAACCTTGGCTCATTTCCTTTTTAGATTTGCCCTGGACTTGAGAAATCCATTATGAGTGTGGAGAGCCTTCTAGAGGCCATGAACGGTATTACAAGTTTATTTTATATTCATGGGTTTAAATGTATGATTGGATTATAACACTTTATTGTTATGTTATTTAGTTTCCATTAATGTGAATGAAGTTCTCAGTATTGACCTTCATCTCACTGATTTACCTGTCATCGATGCTTCAAATCTAACGATGGGACTAAAGGTGAGAAGACAAGCAAAACTTTTTGTGTCATCTTCCGTCATTTGGTTCAAACAGCTTATCTTGACACCGTATGCCTAATGTTAAACTTGTCATAGCATATAGTGATGACAAAATAACCAGCATTTATTTGATTAAAGGGGGAGTTCTACAGTATCAAAACTCATGAGGAGCCCCCCTTTGTGGCCCAGCCGTTCATCTTAGCCGAGCAGAAAAACTCTATGCTGTCAGTGGGGATGTCTGAGTTCACCCTGAACTCCGCCTCATATGGATACTTCTCAGCAGGACAGCTTCAGGCCCTTATCAACGATAGCATGGTAGGGTTAAAACTATAACAGAAGACAGTTTTGAACTTTTGTCTCATCAAGTTTGGGGTTAAGAATTTTTTTTTTTTTCTCAGATACCTCCAGCCTTTCCTATACACCTGAACACCAGCTTCATGGGAATGTTCATTCCTCAGGTAGCCTTCTTACATCTATATGTTAAACTGTGCAATAGTGCAACAAATTTGAGAAAAAAAAACCCCACCTTAATAGGAAAAACAAACCCAAAGTAAGGCTGATTGGTAACTCTAAATTGTCCCTAGGTGTGAGTGAGAGAGTGAATGGTTGTTTGTCTCGTTTGTCTCCTATGTGTCCCTGTGATGGACTTGCGACCCGTCCAGGGTGTACCCCGCCCCTCGCACAGTGATTGCTGGACATGGGCACCAGCGACCCCCATGACCCAAAATGGAATAAACGGGTAAAGAAAATGGATGGATGGATGGACTTTAACAGGATTAGGTTGAAGTTCATATTGGCAGAAAACCTTCTCTATCATTATTTTAAATAATCTAAGAGTTGGACCTGTTTTGCTTTTTCTTTAACTCTCCAGCTTCCCAAGCAATTTCCAGATCTGTTGATGATTCTTCACGTGTATGCCACAGAGGCGCCCATGTTTTCCCTCCAGCCTGGAGTCGGTGAAATTGGACTCCAACTTGGCGTGACAGCCTTCGCCATTGAGTCAAATGGTACCCAGGTCCCTCTGTTCAAACTCAGCATGGTGAGCTCACTGTCTGGTTTTTTTTTTTTTTTTTTGGTAAAAAGTTGCTGATGGATTTACTTCCTAATATTTTTTTTTTTTTTTTTTTAAACACCATTTTTGTCTTCCAGATCTCAAAATTCAGTGGAAAAATGTGGATTGCTGATAAAAAACTGAAAGGATCCGTGACAATGGATAAGTAAGCATCAAAAATATTTGAAATAGCTTCAACTCAAGTTTCAAAATTGCAACCAGCAATAATGAAATTACCTTTTTTTAGCTTTACGCTGACACTTGTATCAAGTGAAGTGGGGCCCTTTAAGGTAAATGGCACATTATGAATAGCTCAACTCATTGTGTGGATCACAAAGTAGAGCATGCTTCTCTCTGCAGACTGATGCTTTGGAAAACACAGTGAAGATAGGGCTCAAACTGGTGGTCTTACCTAAACTGAACGGTAAGTTGTAGTAGTACACGAATGGATATCACAGTGTTGTTTAAAAATGTACATGAATCTGAAATTAATCCATTTGTTGTCCTTGTCTTAATAAACCAGTGATGACTGGGTGAACCCTGATTGTTATCTTGTATTTTGGAAACTATAACTCTGCTTGATTTTGGTTTTATTGTTTTCTAACATACTTTAAAATTATTTCACTTTAATATATAGTTATAAACCTGCCAGTATCTATTTGTACAAACATTTTCCTCAAAAAAAGAGATTGAGGTCCTTTAAGTTTCTATCAAAAACATAGTTTCTTTACTTGTGTCCTGCCATTACAGTAGCTTTTAATTAAAGCTACTTCTAGTTAGCCTTTTGATACTTTTAGCTTATAGCCTTTTGATATTTTGTTTTTAGCTATCCTTTCAATACTTTATCTTTACGTTGAGCTAGACCAGGGGTCTGCAACCTACGGCTCTGGAGCCACATGCGGCTCTTTGGTCCCTCTGCAGCGGCTCTTTCAAGCTTTGACATAAATAAGTTTTGACATACTGAATTTACTGGTTGTACAAACTACAAAAAAGGATTAGTTCAAACAGTTGTCCTGTCATTTCTTTTGCAAATATCTGAACAGTGGAGCGACTAAAAGAAGTAAAACATACTTTGACTTGATGTTTTATTTCTTTACGAACAGTCTGCATTAATTCTTTAATTAATAAAATGACAAACTGACCCCCACAATCTTTACAAGTAAATGTTAAAAAAATCATTAGATATATTTTTGCTGTATAAAGTCACCCCTACTGGCCACAAAAGTCCCCTCCAGCAATAAAGCAGCTCACGGGCCACCAGTTGATAATCACAGTTGTTGCAGCTCCGGGCACGTTTAATTTAGTGAAAGAAGGCGTAAAAATGGCTCCTTTGATCGTAAAGGTTGCAGACCCCTGAGCTAGGCTTTTGCAATGTTTAATTCCTACCTAATATTTTGCTTCATTTGCTTTAGCGACCCTTTAGCTTTTAGCTCGTGCTCTGCATTTTTAACAACTTGGTTTTAGCTTTTTTCACATTTCAGCAGTTATTTAGCGCTCAGCGCTGTATTTTCTGCAACAATGCAATGTTTAAAACCGTTTTCTGCCTTCTTGTGCTGAAATGTGACGTTTTGCTTCAGCGCTGCTGGGAAGTGGATATCCTCTACCTCAAATGAAACAGGGACAACTGGTCCACTCAGTTCTGAACATAGAAAAGGTCTGTATCAATCAAAGAAAGCACAGCAGTGTGGTTTGGGCTCATGTCACTTGAACATTTTCTGTATTTTAACAGGGATTTCTTGGCCTTTATTCAGATGTGGAGATTCAACCAACAGATAGAAGCTACAACTTTTTATAAACAGAGAACAACTCTGTCTGGGCTCAGATGAAATTTAACTTTTTAAAATTGAACTTTTAGCGTCTCAACAGAATGAGGCTCGTCTTGCAAAACTTTCGATGCATAATTGACATAAGTATCACTTCCATGTCCAATCCGAGGTGGGTCTAGATCAGCAACATAAATATTGAATAAAATGAACTGTTGGTTTCTTTTTAAATTATAAATCACCTCATTAAATATTTTTTCACATTTCATCTCGTCTTGCTTCCAACAACTTCAGGTTTTCTTTCTATTAAAAAAATGGGCAAATGAAAATTCAGTGAAATGACTCATTGGTGAAATGTCTGAAAATGAAACTACCGCCAATTCTTTAAACTTAAAAAGGCATAAAAAAACACTTCATGATGTTCATGAAACAATCACATCTCTTTATTTTGAAATATTTCAGTGCTTGACGTTTGGATTCTGTTATTTTATCACATTCTTGGAATGTAGAGCCTTGAAAATATAAAAATGAGCCCATTTACAGCCAGTGTTAAGATGTTCCCTATAGAAAAACTAACATCACTGTTTCTTCATAAAACAAGAGTGTGGACAGTAACCGGCTCACTGAACCAGACTTTGAACTAAAGCAGGAAGACAATAAAAGGTTGTGAACGATGTGAGATTTAAAGATATTGGCAGGATTGTAAAGACCTAGCATACAATGAAACTGAGAAGCACGGAGATGGTGTAGACCTCTGTTAGAAGACTGTTTAACACGGGTACATAGCTTTAGCTGCACTCCTCCTGAATGTGAACTTACATTTACAGAAATGTTCCATTTTTCTTAAACGTGTTAAAATTATGTTGTAGTAATACATATACTTGAGGTATATATGCATACTTTTTCACGAGTTCCTCATCTTTCTGACTGTGTAATGTCGTGCATTGAATTTAACAGAAATGTAACGAGAGACGTTATTTATCTTTGACCCATCAAAATGAATGCGGTCATTTATTTTCAGAATCAAAGTTTAACATCAAACATTTACATTAATTTGGCAAAATATGAAAATAATAACAGACAAGTTTCACAGAAAAGGGACATCGATCACTCGGCGGTGATCAAGGACTTTGCTTCAGATATTCCTAAGATATCTGTACTGATTTTATGAGAAAGAGGAGAGTTTTAAGATGAAATGGAGTTATCTTACAGAGAAATATGTGAGGGAATTAATCTGTTTGACCAGAAATTGCACGCTCCATCAGATCTCAGCTTGCCCACGGTACACTTGGTCGAAAATAGAACCATCTACCTTGATGATGAAATCAGCGTCGGCGTAGGTTCCTTTCTGACTCTTTTCAGCGTCTCCGTGAGAACTACCAAACCCTCAGAGAGTCGTACGTGGTTTTCAAACAGAAATTATAATCCCAAAACGTCTCTGGATCATCCTGAATGCGTTTGCACCCAAGAACTCTGAACTCCTTTCATTCTTCAGAACTTCTCAGACTCTAACAGAATCTTTCAACTCCAGCAACTCTCTAGTTCTTCATCTCCTCAGCCTCTGGAACTCTCTGGAATTCTTTCCCAGACTCTCCCGACTCTCCCGAATTCTAACAGAACCGGGAAGTTGCCACATTTTAAATGAGTTGACTTCCGGGTCAATTTAGAGCTTTCTGATTCGTGGATGGACCAGAAAGAGGTGTGGTTTTTGACGTAAGGTGTTATCAAAAGTCGAGGTCAGAGAATGAGTTTGTTTAACAACTGACAGAGAGATTATTGCAGAAAAGCAGACTTCGTGGAGTCAACTCTTCTGTATCTTCTGTAAAGATTAAACATGACATTTCTTTTTCAGTAAACATTTAGTTGACCGAAGCTTCAACTTTCACATACTTACGTTGCTTGGCTCATTTCAGACAGAAAATCAAGAAATGCATATTAACCTGATTTCTTCTTTAAATGAGGAATAAAAATCATTACTTACTGTTTATGTAAAAATAAAAATGAGTAGTTCTCTTCAACCTGTAACTTTGAGTGAACTAACACAATTTTGATTATCAAACATTTGTAAAACAGTGATGATCATAAAAATTGTCTTTTCTGCTTGATTAATTCAAGAAAGAAAGTCACCAGATGGCTCAGACTGTATTCAGATCAATGAAATAACAGTCCCTGTCCATCTGATAGATTTGAGGTCATCAGGGTCAGATCAGGGTCAGATCAGGTTCACTACAATGTCTACTTCAACCAAATGCCACACCACATGCTAACAACCTTAGAACTTCATTAGTTTAAAACCCGTTAAAATAACATAAATAACACCAAGCTACATCTAGGAAGATGAATTAACCAAACATACAAGAAGTTTGTTAAATGTTACAGATTAGACTACCAGTATTCAGAAGCTTTATAAATCTTTACGACTCATGTTGGCACAGTCAACATCCTGCACATAATCCATAAACACTGGCGAGCGTTCATAGCGCACAAATACTGGAGCAAGTGAGCACACGTATTATTTGACTAATTACCTTTTCGAAGACTAGCTACCACTTAAAAAGTATACATACTGAAAATAAGTTAACCATGAACATTCTTAAACTGTAACACTTTGTATACAACACATTCACTGCAGGAGGAAAGGAGAATTGATGTTTTTTACAACAAAATTTTTTTTTCCTAGAAAGCACCTTAAAGACTACAAAAACTGAGAACCAATCTGATGAGGACAATTGTAAAAGATAAACCAGAATCAGCATCAAAACTTCCTTAGTTTGGTTCTGAGGTTGCCATAAAAAGCCAAAGCTGACCTCTGAAGTACAAAAATTACTGGCATCAACTTGTGTCTTGCATTGCTTAAAACTGTTGGGTAAGACAAAATCTGAAATCAAAGCTTTAAAATGTCCATTTAGATCATATAAGTACATACAGTACATATTTTGGTTGGTTCTGCAGTACAAGGAAGGGTCAACAAAATCCAGAAATGTACTTTAAAATGTACTAAACCTGTCTGAAAAGATTCAAAATAATAAAACATTACAAACTAAAAAAAAACATCAGGAATGAAACAATGTTGCTGAGAGCGTGTGTAGGCACGGTGTGAATTTGCTTTTAAAAATACAGCTGTAACATCACAAGACAACATCCTATGAGCTTCAAGTTTAATATGATTAAACCTTGTTTGGTAAACTGTCACCAGCCCGACGCTCATCGTCACCGCCCACAGAGGCGAGAAGACACTCGACCGTGCAGACTGCTGAGGAAGGACAAACCGTGACCTTGTGACAAACAAGAGGAGAGAGGAATGGGACTGTGGTTTTTAGGCAGTCTTGGCAGATGAGATGAGAGGTCCCTTTAAAGGGAAAGTGTCTGAGAAGTCCATTGGTTCATGATAAAGCGGAGAGGAAGCCAGGATCATTTATCGGCAACAGCTGCTGCCATTGGAACGCGCATGGAACCACGAGCAGTGGCTGCTAGCTCCTCTATCTCTGTGTTCAACCGTCTGATGACCCACTCCATCGCCTCTCGACCCTGACACATCAACACAGGGTTTACAAACATGAGGTGAAGCAGAGCAGAGCTGAGTTCAAGAAGCTTTAAAAGCTGCCTCACCTTACTGGCATTAACAGATATGGTATTAGCCATGAGACCCTCGAGGTAGCTGCTTAGACTGACACCTTTTACACTGATCAAAGCTTCCTGCGTCAGCACCGTCCTGGAAAAACAAAACATAAACACAGGCCGCTTAGAGTGCTTATTCAATTAACATTTTACATCCAATATTAAACTTTGAAATGAAAGATATGAACTATTTCTACAAAAAATAGCAACAGCGGCATGTAAACAGAATAGCTTACTTCTCTGGGTCCTGTGGATGTGGTTTGTATGTCAGCTTCTCATCCACAGATACAAGGTTGGTAAATGAGAGCTGCATAAATAAAACAATAAATGTTACTTCTTTCCACCTTTAAAACATAAAGAAACAATTAAACAGAGTACAAAAATCAGACTGTAGGTCTAATTCCAGTAAATGAGTCCTTGAGGCTCAATGGGATTTACCTGTATAAATAAAGGTTGATTGAATAACGGAGCAAAAATAGTCTGAACACGTCGCTGTTAAAATAATCGTATAACTGATGTCACGTTTTTAATTACCAGTAATTATTTAAATAATCGTACCAGTCCTTACACTACATAGTTAAAGCTTTACAAATTGAGTTTATTTCATTAATTAAACCTAAGCAAACATGATCAGAGACTGAAGAGCAGAGTCAGTTGAAAGTCAAGTTTTTGCAGAGCAGGTGGTTTGAGCTGGACAACTCAATCAGAGGCTCCGAGTGCAGTTTCATGTTCAAAGTAGTATACAGTATTCGTTTTACTTACATTTGTTGATTGCAACTCAAAGGTTCTCTGTTTGGGGTCCACTGTTGAATGTTCTTGAACATAGGTGCACGTTCTTGTCGCTCCAAAGAGCTGAACAAACAGAACACAAGACAAGCTTGTTAAAAAAAAAAAAAGCAGCAGACTTCAATTTTATAAGATTAAAGCAGCCTGCAGCACATTAAAGCTTACAGTTTTGGCTACAGCGGGGAGCCCCCACTCGGTGCTGAGCAGTCTCGTGCTACGTAACCGTCCCTCAGAGTCAACACTTCTGTCCAGAACATCCACACCTAATACACTGGGGTTCATGGGATTGGGATACTTCTGCATTGCCGCCTTGGTCACCGTCTCCCATGGGTGGCTGTAAAAACAAGACTTTTTAAAAAACTATTTTAGATCATTTAATATTTAGTTGTCATCAAAAAAAGATTTAATTACAGTTTATAGCCTAACATGCACATTAATCATCTCTGTGTGCCACTGGCTTGTTTATGTTGATGTTTCTCATCATGAATCAAACTTAATGTCTTTGGTTTGAACGCGAGAACTCATCTCTTTAAAAAGGGGGTGAGGCGCATCAAAACAAAGCATCCTTTTACGTTTAAAACTGACGTCACAGGTTCCGGATCACGTTAGACGAATTAGCATCAGCTGAATCTGAGCAGCCGCAGACTCCCAGCATCTCTACTGTGCACGAGCTCGTCAAGAAACTTCTAGAAATGGACAGAAGTAACCTGACCGTTGTTTATAGTCGGGGACCGTCCGGCGTCCTAACGAGGCAAAAATTATGCACTTACAGGCAAGAACACTTACCCCATAACAGTTATGCAATGCCAAAAACTCGCGGGCAAATGAGAGAAAGACAAGCTATCCAGTCACAATGAATATAGCCTTAGCTAAACCTTAAACTAGCAACTCAAGTAACAAAAATAGCTTTTAGGTTAGCACCTGCAGGCTAACATCGTCAACACAGCTAACGGTTTACATCCACCACCACATAAAGAGCAGCAGTTTAAAAGCATCAAATGTGTCGTTTTATTTACAGATAGGGTTAACTAACCACAAAAAATGACTAGACAAGTTACATCAAGCGAAGCCTCTAATGTGTCGAGTTTTAACTTCCCCTGCTAACTAAGGAAGCTAACAGTAGCTGCCAGATCCAGCACTTGATTATACAACACACCGGACTAAAACTGGATATGTAACATATATGCTCGTCTAGAATGTTTTAACAACAAAAAGGATGCTTACTTAAAAATGTGTTCGGACGCCCAGATCTTCATTTTATAGTTTGTCTGGTAAATATCGGTAACCGGCAAATATTTACAGCGTGACCGAGACGAAGGAGAACCAGACTGAAGGAGAAACCTTGAGTAACTGCGAGTAAGCCGCCATACGCCCCCTGGTGGTAGAAATTGCTACTGCACACTCCTAATTATTTTAAATAGTTCAACTTGTTTACTTTCTGCATGTATTCTGAGATAGCATTTGTTGTATTTCGCTATGCGGATAAACTAAAATTTTTTCCGTGCAGTTATCCATCATTAAAAAAACACAAAACTGTAGTTTCTCTTCATTTCACTTTCACAAAAAAAACTAAATTCTTAGTTAGAATGTACGCATAATGTCAAATTATTATAAGGTTACTTAAACCATAATCTATGAAAAATCAGCTGAGAATAATAATTTAAATAGCTGTAATATCCCCCCCAAACCAGGAGCCATCTGCTTGTGGGTGGGACAAAATATGTCAATCATGAACAAAAGTCTTACCCAGCGTGGGTAAATGACGTCATCACGCACGATCTGTCCTTGAAGCTAACACAGACAACATGGTGGCATACTGGAGGCAAGCAGGCTTAAGGTAAGAAAACATAGGTAAACGTGGACATTTTTTAGCTGAGTCTTGCAGACGGTGTTTGTTGCCTAATTTAGAGTAAAATTAGTTAAATTCCCTTATAATTTTTTTGATTGTAAGCAATGAACTGCGCTTCATAGCTAGCAAACGTAGCTTCATATAGCTTAGCTAAGCGTAAATTGTTTCTCCATCTGCGCTACTCACTGTGTTATGTGGAGGTTCCATAATAATGCGTCATTTGTAAATGAAGGAGATGCAATGACTGTATTATCCAGACATAATGTTCTCGATGATGTATGTGTTTTAGCATGAAAAGGTTAACGTGTGCGTTTTCTCCTCAGCTACATCCGCTTCTCCGCCATTTGCGCGAACGCCGTGCGGGCGGCGTTGAAGCCGCAGATCAAGACCGAGGTTTTAAAGGCCGCGGAGTCAAACGTCAAAGTCATAAAACCCAAAACAGCATGTAAGCTTTAAAACGCATTCTAAACTATTAATGTCTCTGTTTTGGTCCAGAATTCTCTCCCCAGGTTGAATGTACATTTCTGAATGCTACCTGTGACATTGAGTGGTGACATTGCAGGTTTTTCCTTCAAATACTTTTATTTGTAGTTTTATCAATTCACTTTTATAAATAGTTCATTACATGTATTCTTGACTAGTCCCCTGTACAGTCTTGTATTGATATGAGCGCATAAGACATTTGCTTAAACAATATTATGGTTTTACCTGAGGCTTGAAATCTGCTAATTACATACAGTATCTTGAATTAATTCCAATTATAACAATGCTTGAGAAGATCAGCCTTTTGAGTGTATATGTTTTTCTCAAATACTGTAAATATTGTCTATTCTATTAGGTATAAAATCAAAATACCTTTTTTTTTTTTTTTAATTAAGCTACTAATGTGTGTTTTGTTATTGTATTCTAATAGTGCAGACTCTGCACAATGTCTGATGTGTTTTTATTGCAGGCAATTTATGTTAATTTGTTTTCTCATGAGGCAGCATGGTGGCGCAACTGGTAGAGCTGCTGCCTTTCAGTGAGCAGGTCCCCGGTTCAAATCCCGGTTCGGGGGCCTTTCTGGGTGGAGTTTGCATGTTCGCTCCGTGCATGTGTGGGTTTTCTCCGGGTACTCCGGTTTCCTCCCACAGACCGAAAACATGCATGTTAGACTGATTGGTAACTCTAAATTGTCCCTAGGTGTGAATGAGAGGGTGAATGGTTGTTTGTCTCTCTGTGACCCTGTGATGGACTTGTGACCTGTCCAGGGTGTACCCCGCCCCTCGCACAGTGATTGCTGGACATGGGCACTGGCGACCTCCATGACCCAAATGGAAGAAGCGGGTAAAAGATGGCGGCTGGATGGATGGATGTTTTCTCATGTAGTTTACATACTTGCTATGTCAGTGCTCAGCACATGTAAATCAATTTTACCTTGTGCACATACCTTCTCAAAATAAATGTCTGGATTTAAATGTCTGCAATCCAGGAAAGTGAAAATATATTTTGATTATAAAAAAACTATTAATCCCAAAGGAAAAATAAATACAATGAATAATTAAAAAAAATAATTGATTGAAGGTGCAGTATTAATATTGTACAGGTCACTGAAATGCTCTTGTGTGTTTTCAATGTAAAGTCAGTTCTCATGACAATATTTTCTGTTCTTTGACTTTGTTTTTCCTGTAGGATGTGATACGGATGTCGATATTTTCCTGGGGGTGTGAGGTCTTGTCACCATTCTGTTCTTCACAACATGAAGAGAAAAAGAGCTGGATAACATCAAGATGTGTTTAAGACCGGGGACCTGAATTAATCACCTATTTTCATTTGTAATTAAAGATAAATTAACTTTGAACCTTAACGTTTTCTTCTTTCTTTTCACTTGTAGATGAGTAAAGTATATTTGTAGAGTAAGACACAAATGTTTTTGTCTTTTAAGTTTTTTTTATTAGAGATTAGTAAACTTGTGCATTAGTGTGCATTACAGAAACATGGTATTTACAGAAGTATGAGTTTGATTTATTAAACTTTATGAAAACTACTAGAAAGGCATGCAGTGGCCGCTGGGTTATAAACTCTTGAGCAAAACTGCTAAATATGTGAACGGTTACTTTGCCGTTTAAAACCTCTTTTCATGAGTGAGAAGTTGGTATTCATTTTTTTAACATTGTTTTAGTATTTCAAAGAAAAGAATAAACCAAAATTATGGTAGTCTCAATATAATTTCACCTTTGTTCCAACATTTTCAGCATTTGAGATTAGAAATCACCAAGCTCTGATAGTTTATGAAGGATGGTGGCCTAAGCTGCCTTTCTGGGAATTGCCAAATACATTGAGTTGTTTATTCGAAAATTTGACTTTAGGAGACTATTTTTTTCCATCCTATTTGTTGGAAACCTTTAATATAATTTAAGATTATATTTGTATGTTTTGATGTAATTTAAGCCTTAAAGACGCTTGTTTGAGTCAAATAACTTTCCAATTGTCCTGTTTCAATGTCAGAGTTTCAGTCAGTTTTCTGTTTAACTTTTTGTCTGTAAATCTTGTTAATTTCTTTGTCAAAGAGATCTAAAATTCAAGCGTCTGATCAGTTTCCTGTGCACCAAAATGCCCCAGTATTAAAAAAAAAAAAACAAGGTAAAGATACTTTTTAAAGACAAAAGTTGGGGAAAAAAAACATTCAATACATTCACAGAGCTGAGCTCAGAGAGCAATTAAGGTACTTATTGCAAAGTCATGAAGACTGGACAAAAATATCAAACAATATTTTTTTTCCATATTTCTGATTAAGGTGTTACCAGTAAATTAAAAAGATTGTGATCGGATGCCAAATATGCTTTTGTTTATAATCAGAAACTTGCTTTTGGGGGCAGATTTAGTTAAGTATTTACATTGAATGTGGACCCGCTTTTCAGAATTGCATTCAGTTTATAACTACTTGAGTTAACACTTTCAAACATCATTTGCTATAATTTAGGATAACCTTGTTTTTATATTTGATCCCATGGTTTGCAATGATCAATTTAAAAGGTTCTTAACCTTTAATTGGTGTCAGATATGCAGTGAATTAACATTTAGAAGAGTAAAAACACAAGAATAAAAGTTGAAGACCAGAGAGGGCAGGAGCACAGAATGATGATTAAAGAACTGGATTCTCCTCCTCAACATTTCTTTATTAAAACTCTTCTCCAGTGCTGAAATAAAACCCTTCCCCTTGCTAAGAGCAGATGTGATGCTGAGTCCTAGCTGTCTTTCTTCTCTCTGGTCATTTTGATCATGGTCTCCGGCGATCGGTAAAGGAAGATGAGTTTCTCAAACAGAGTCTCCTCCAGCTCCATCTCTCCTGTCTCCCGCACCACAAAAATGTCAGTGCAGAGCTTCAGGACTCGGTCCACACACGGCAGATCCTCAAACATGATGGACCGAGATATCCCATTGAAGAATTCTCTAACAAACTTTCCAATGACCAGAACCACCGACATGTACAGGCCAACAATTCTGCAGAGACGAAAAAACTGAATCAGACAAGTGTGTTTAAACTTGTTCTCATTTTTCACATATTTTAAGGCACAATAAACTGCAGTCTGAAACTTTTCAACAGGAGCATGCTGTATGAAAGATGAGTGCTGAATGACTGCTGAAATTTGTTAAAGTAGCTGAAACTGTTTTTAAGGAGCTTGAACAAACAGAACAAAAGCTAAAATGAGCCGAACACAAACTAAGAGCAGTAATCACAGTAGCTGGAAACTGAAGGTAGCAAAACAGCAGAACAGTAGCCGAAAGCATATGTAGTTTAAAAAAAAACAGAACAGCTTAAATGGGCAAGATAAAAAATATGTAAAAATTAGCAAAACAGTAAATTAACAAAACTAATGCTAAAAGTAGCAGACAATGTTAAAGCTAAAAGTGTAGCAAGGAAAATTACATCTAAAGATAAATTTAGCAAATCAGATGGTAAATTATCAAAATATATGCTGAAGTAAAAAATTTATAAACAGTATCTAAAATTAGCACACAAAAAAAAGCAAACAGAGAAAGCTACAATTAGCTAAACAAATGCTAAAATTTGCAAAGCTGAATCTAAATGCACCAAAAAGACACTAACGCTTAAATAACCCAAAAAAGCTGAAAATGAATAAAACAAATACTAACTATCCCATAGCTAAAATTAGCATAACAAATGCAAAACAATAGCTAAAATTTAGAAACGGTAGCTAAAATGAACTGTCACTAAAAACTGACAGAAGAAAAATGTTATTTAAAAGAAATCAAAGTTTGAGCAGATTTTTAATTAGAATGACAGTTTTGGAGGAACTGAACAGAACTGTGATTTTCTAATGATTTTTTTTTAATTAAATTTATATATTTTGAAAATAATAAATTATATTAAAAAAAAAGTCATAGTACACTAGTATAAAAATTGTGACTGCTGACGGAGCATTAAAGAGCATCTTAAAGAAAAAGAAAAATGTCCCATTTTTCTTGCTACCCACCCATGTCCAGCCAGAAAGCCCAGACTGGAGGGGCTGACTTTATCGTTGAACACCCCGATCTCAATGCTGTGACACTTGTGTTCAGAGGAGGTGAGGACAGAGGAGCACTCCTCCACCACCCACCACTGGTCCACCTGTTTGTCCGATGTCCCGTTGACCTGCTCAAGTCTAATGGACATGGGCCTAAAGAAGGCCAGCGCCTGGAGTTCTGGACGCTCTGACGGCTCTGAGAGAGGACATGGACATTAAACTCAAAGTTACACATAAATTAAAGCACTGCTTAATGTATTAAACTGTTTAAACTATTTTTATCTGCTATTTCTTATTTTACTGAGCAAGTCATGCAGCATGGAAAGTAAAAAGTTTTCCAGTTGTTGCCTGATAATGATTTAGTCACAGGTTTTCAGCCTTTTCTGTTTCATTAATCACTAAAACCTTTAGCTCATGTAAACTCAAAGGCTCATTCTGACAAAGAAAGCAAAATGTATAAGTTGCCCCTGGTTTAGGATATATGATTTTATGACCACATTTCTTCTTCAGAGATGATGGTTCAACGCTCTGCTTTCAGGTTCTGGAGAGTTCTTAACATTTTGTTATTGTTTGTTTTTAAAGCAGAACAATAAAAAGATCCTTTTGACCCTTTTTCAGGTCTCTCGTGTAAAAGAGTCCCCGAGGCTCAATGGGATTAACCTGTATCAATAAAGGTTGTATGAATGAATAACACAGTTGTATCTTTTTCATACACAGTTGGAATCATCTGACCTGGTTGTTTTGGGAAACAAGAAGCAACTTGAGATTAAATCACTCATTTCATCTTCAGAAACACATTAATCAGTACAATCATTTTTATAAGAGGACTCAACACATTTGATCGTCAAACTGTTTGCACTGTGTGACAACGTGATTTAACATTTGCTTACCGACGGACATCCTGGTGGCCATTTTAGACTCTTGTCCCTTGGGACCTCTAATAAACTTTGGCAGCAGAGAATGAATTATCCTGTTCAACAGAAAAATAAAAATATTTTATTGCAGATCAGATCTTAGCATACTGGAATGATATACAGTAAGTAGTTAAATGATCATGTTTGTTTGTTTTTTTCTATACTGCTTAATGTGTTGTTCTCTCCCTGCACGCCTTGCTTTCACTTTGGCTTTAGCTCAAAATAACATGGTACTTCCTGAAGCCTATAGAGAACATTTGCAGATTATGACGTAGTAAAGTGGTCACAGTGTAGATTGTCTGGAAAGTCTTTGTTTGAAATGAAGCCAGAAAAATCCCAATTGTGTTTTGGTGGTGATGTCATAAAAACACTGCGGATTCACGATTTTACAAACAGCTGGATGAAGTAATTACCACCAAAAACGCATCGACATTTGAGCAACATGACAAGAGTACAGTTGCAGTTAAGTCAGAATTGTATGCAATGGATTTTTTTAGCCTTTATTTAATGATATATATATATATATATATAATTTTTTGCTTTAACGATGTTGTTTTCTGACCGTAACAGACATACTAGAAAGAAAAAAAAAACCTCAGTTTGCTGTGCATTCCCTAAAACTCACACAGATTTGCTGTGGTTTCCTTTGAGCATTTGTACAATTCCATCCATCAAGACCTTGTCGTCAAACTTCACCGTGTGTTCACCCACCGACTCCACAACCATCGATATTGATGCGTTCCTGAGGAGAGAAGCACAGGTCACATATTTTACTTCTAATGTCACACTCTGCAGCTCCTTGCACATTTTATGAAGTTAAATCGTAATTTTGACAGACGCTTGAACTCCACCTGATGAATGAAGCTGATAAGCAAATATTTAAAAGAGGCGTTAGCTATTATACATTAATTTGTGTTCAAACGAAACAACCCCCTACCATTTACAAACTAAAAACAGCATCACACTCTAGAAAACCACACACACACACAGTCTGACCTGACCAGAGTCCAGCGTAAGGTTATGTAAATGTGGGAAGAGCTGCTGAGTTCTTGGATCATGGCGGCGCGACTGGCTGGGCTGATGCCCCACAGCAGGCTGGCATCGCTCTTGATTTTAGCTACAACAATGTCCTCAGCCTCGTAGTTCATCAGAAACTGCATGGCAGACTGGGAGAGACAGTCAGACCAAATGGGATTAGAGTTGGTTTGAACTGTGCAGCTATGTTCATAAGAAAACACACTTGAAATGTCTGATATTCTCCCTGAAGCAACATTACTATAACAGAGGGTGCAAATAATCCGGATGTTGTCTTTATGCTCATTTTAGGATCACAAATTTATTTTGTCATCTCGACATTACTATAAAATTATTTAGTCATAAATAAAAATCTAATTAATTACTCTGTATAGATTTTAAATTTAATAATACAGTAAAAAGTTAAAGTTCATACAAGTATTTATTTTTAGTCTCTAGTTGTTAGCTGTCCATTTTAGAAATGATTTGTTTTTAAGGTTGTTTATAATCTTAATCCTACATATTTATCAGATTTTCTTTTATGTTCTGAACTCTTCAGATCCTTCAGGTCCCCTGGAGTCGTTCTTCTGATTGTAGAAGTTAGAAGTAAATCCCCCACCCATGTATCATTTTACATTGGTTCTCACAAATTCATGTACTGAGTGCTCAGAGTGTTCAAGTCCTGAGGACGGCTCAGAGTATGCACATCCTGAGGACGGCTCAGAATGTTCATGTCCTGAGGACGGCTCAGAGTGTTCATGTTCTGAGGACGG